CGATTTATGATGCCGGTATTTCTCCAACAAAATATTTATTTAATGTTCAACAATACGCAATTTATTTCAAGCGGAAGGATGAAAATGTAACTAAGTAATAATTAAAAAAAAGTTAACGTAGCGAAAGCTAAGAATATTAATTCGAATTAACGGAGTAAATAAAATAAGTAAATGTTTTTTGTCGTTTTGAATTTAAATCATTTAAGGTTAATTGAGAAGTTCAAGGGTAAAGAACCTGAACAGTGAGCATCGAAAGTTCAAGTTCAACAACAAAATTAGACGAACGAAAACTTCACTCGTTTGTTGAAGTCAGCAAGATACAATTTTCTCGATTTTTCACAGACTGATAATAAAGATTCAAAAAATAAATTTAATAGCCACTAATCTTCATTTCATTTCATATTTAAGAGAGAGAAATTGCCAAGTAAAGTAAATATTAAAAATGCTTTAAAATGTTCATGAAAAAATTTCGGATGGTAGGTATAAAGTTTTCAGAGGTTGTCACCGCCGACCCGAATTGTGCAGTGATTTATTTGCTCCAAATTTTGGGAGTATCTCAATCTACCCAAAGGTTATAAACCATTAGGATTCATCCCTTTCCTGCAGATATGTACTAACATGTGGCTCTGCAGGAGCCCACTGCGCACATTCACTGTGACGCCTATTGCATAACAATGCGGCCACCTGCTCTTTCGACACACAACCCATAACCAATATTATTTAGCTTTCGCCAATCACCAGTGTTTTATAAATTTCATAAAAATATTTAATCAGGTTACTTGACAACTTTTAGTGGTGAGTTACAAGTGTAGAAATTTTCACCTTATTTCACTTTTATTAAGACGGGTATCTTGTAACTGTCAGACCTGCATCCTTTCCTCAATCATGCCACCATTTGCCAAGACCTCAGATTTAATTAATTTCCCTATTCAAGCATCTAACTAAATTACCTCCGTTAGAAGCCGATTTGATAAAACAAAACCCAAGACTCGAAATTAGCCTTCAGAGAACATCGCTCTGATAAAAATTATACAGGTACTTAATGAGCTGTTCACTTTAATAAGCTTTTATCGTTAATTTTTTTCTAAAGACTCGTTTGCACTAAGAGCGCATATTATCTCCTTTTCATCGTTTCACTTTGCCTTCTTACACCTCTCTTTAATTAATTTTTTTATATTATTAAATATATATTCGTATGATAAGACATGGAAGAGTTACGATCGATCCAGATCACGTTCTTCTCGATCTTCGTTTAGAAATATTATTAAATAATATATTATCATATTATATTATATGAAATAATATAATAATATACTGGGTGTCAATTTTAAAACTTGCAATCGGCAATATCTCTAGAACTAAAAAAGTTATTGAGAATCACTCAAAACCGTTTCGGTGGTTTTTAGGGGAATCACAATGGCATGGTAAGTGACGCTCCTCCACCCACCCTTCATGCCACAGCCACCTTAAGTTGAAAATTTTAAATGGCACAACCCTACTTGCGATACATCGTTAGAAAGCTCATAACAAGCGTTTTGCAAAAAAGTCATACATAACAGCCTATTTGGTAAAGCCATTTTTCCAATTATTCAGTTAAATTTTCATTTTTTTATTATATTCAAGGGTGGGTGGAGGTGTGTCACTTATCATGTCATTTTAATTCCCCATAGGAACCACCAAATTATGATTATTAATGATTATTAATTACTTTTTCAATTGAGAGAAATTGCCGATTACAACTTTTAAAATTGACAAAGTGTATATTATAAATACTCAAACTTTATGCCGTCTCTTTCAGATAATGAAAGTGATACCAGACAGTGTGAATTTTTGTGTAAACTATAATTAACTACCTAATAAAATAATTATAACACAATTAATATTTAATTTGCGAATTTGTTTTAATTTTCATATTAGAATAAATTGTTCACCTATTTACATTCAATTTTAAATAAAATAACAATAATTTATTTGTCTTTTACCAAAATCACACATATAGACAAATTTTAATTTTTCTTACTTTTTTCTTTTGAAAGATGTGGGTAAACAATTTATTGAAAATCGGAACTTATTTCTGTAAACAACAGTTTATTTTATTAACGTATCTAGGCTGTAACTTGTGTTAATGGAAAAATAGCTACGTTTTCTAAATGAAATATAAATGAAACTTTATATGTGTGGCTATGAAATATTCAATTTTATGGATATAATTAATGCAGTAAGCAAAAGAAAGTGCGTGAAGTGTAACATCGAGGACAAAATTCCTGTCATAAATTGATACAAAGAACGTGTTTTGTATCATTATCAAGGTTTGTGTTGAAAATTTTGTATATTCTACAACTAGAAATAAATTTTACTAAAAAATTACTAATCAACAAACCGTTTAATTTATAGACATTAATAACAATTTCTTTCTAGTAGCAATCGAATTGTCGAATAACACAAATTAATTCAATGAAATTTTGCGTTGGAAATCAGATCTTTTGAATAGAAAGGTATTACAGAGGTCATCTTTAATGGCTTCCGTGAGTATTTGCTTTCTACTCACCTTTAACCTCACCGTACATGACCAGTCGTTGTTGTAATTCTTCACAAAACATCTCTTCGCCATATTAGTCCGCCATAAATAATATTGTGCAAATTTATGTATTTCTGACCAATTAACAACTGTTCAATAACAAATATATAAAGCAAGAGAATGTGTTTGAAAATAACACTTTCAACGGAAATTACATTTAACCATAGTAAAAATTCAATCAGCAAGACGATCTCTAAATTATTTTTACAATTTATCGAGCAATTTATACATAGATGAGGAGAAATAATCGATAGAGAGAGACAAGACTAGGTAGAATCAAAACTTCCTCAGTTCCTGATTCGTGTTTGAAATACAGCGGATTTAACCCAATTTTTCTTCATCAGAAAATTACCGCGGCTTTCTGTTTGTAAAGTATGGACTACAACACTATTATTAAAAACAATTTTTTCTGAAAAACATTTTAAGATTGTTTAGGAATTGTGTAATTTATTAAATTAATTTTTCTAACTTACCTAATTATTACAAAAAACAATTAGGAGTATATGACCTATTGCTCCAATTTATTGTAAACACGATAAATCAAATAATTCTGCTGATAATAAGAATATGAAGATAATAAGTACCTATCATCATTTGAAGTTCACAGTTAAGTCATTAAAGAAATGTAAGCTGATATAGAGAAATTTATGAGATTTATGCTATTATCACATTCTTTTTGCAACATTAAATATTTATTTGAAGCGTTTTTCCGAGTTTTTGTTAACAAATGTGTCTCACTTAAAATTGTTTGAAACTTATCCGACGTTTATTTACCTTTGTTCAAGTGGTTTGTGTAATGTTACAATTTATAAACAAACATGAAATTCAATAAGTGGTTACACCAAACATCGGGAAATGTTTACAAACTTTCCTTTTGATGTGCATGGAAAATATCAGATCTAATCTGTATAGGTAGAATCAGCTAATAAAACGGAGCAACGCTGTATTTAAGTGCTTGGAAAACATTCGCTTTATATCCCCTATGAATAATAAAATCCGTTCTGGCTTCCTGAGCAATCACCGTCCTCTTATTTCCAATATAGAAATATTTTTGTATTTCCGTGTAAAACGTCATGAGTCCCTGTGAATCTTCACAGGCGAGGTGAATGTTTGATTGGGAGTGAATATCGGTCCCAGCATTGTTCCAGTAGTGGTAGCAACAAAGATAAACGTTGAAAACAATTTTTTTCTGGTGGTAGTAGTTCGTTGACGCGTTTGATGTTTTTAAGCTGAATTTTGTGAAAGCGTCCGGACGTTTTAGTACACGTTTTTCAATCCCTTTACTCACGACCTTTTCAACAGCTCAGTGATCGATCGAATAGCTAACTCCTATCAAAATAACTTGCGGACAAGTTACCCTTGTCAACGATTTGCGGTTATGTTGTGGGAACGGATATATATATATATCTGTTATAAATATAGATCTAATGCCTTTAACAGACAATGTTAAGAAATCGTTGCCGCAAGCAGAACCACACGAACCACTTTATACAGTTAAGACGGTGCATGATCCGAACGGAATCCTTGGCCTCAATCGACATTTTACTCTATGAGATTTTTCTCCTGTCCGCGCACTTTAAATACAAATTTGCCCCAAGAGGAAGACACTTTCAGATGGTGCAACTATGCGAATTCTCTAATAACAAAGTCTCTCACGTTCCTACGCGTTTGAAGAATTGTGTATGTGAAATGAGCGCGCATTGATGGACGTTTTACATTACTCCGTAATTGCGGCAGAATGTTTTGTACTTTCACTAGTGGTCGATGCCAAAACTGATGTAGCCTTCCGTATTGTAATCTTTAGTTACACAATACCGTATAACTCTATTTCATGGATTGAATTAACAGATTTTCTAACACGGTTTCCTAAACTCTTACAAAAAGGTTCGGCGTACGCTAGTTGCTGCAACTGAATGGTAAGAGGAGATCGAATTCAAATCAGGTCTTAATTGAAGGCATTAGATGTTTAATTAATAACTAGACATCGAGTTACGTCCGCTATTTGCTGACGTCCGGGACTGGATAGCGTTGCAGTGGTTCTGTATGTTTGCAGTTTGGGATGAATGTAATCTTACAAATTATCCGTAAAACAATTCTATTTGAACGTTGAATAACTTTCAGCTATTCAGGACGAGGCAAGGACGACCTTGCAAACGTAAGTAAAAGTATAAAAGCCGATAAAGTAGGTTACTGTCGATCCGCCATAGTAAGTCTAGACTAGACTTGCAGTGTGGGGCAACGGAACTGTTTCTATATTGGCGAAGTTCCCCAACAATAGACGTCACGAGGATATGCGGATGTCACGTTGCAACTCTCATATATGCAGTAAATAAACATTTCGTCAGAAGTTCAATGAATTTCTTTTACGAACTTTCTTTTCGTGAACGGGAAGATATGTCGGGGATAATAAAAACAGAAAAGGTAATCATCTCAGAAATGTTTACACATTTTATTCATTTTTATTGGGTTTTTACATTTTTCTTAGTTTATTCTTATTGGGCCTATGGAACAATAAAAATATACAGATTAAGCCCATTATAACATACATACATTTCAATCAAAATAGACATTTTGTATTTTTTTAAATTTTTGTTTCTTATGATAGATAATAGCTTAGAGCGAATCCTAAAGATCCAGTAATATTATGTATGTAATTTTTCAGTCAGTCACCCTCGCGACATAAGTACTTGTAGGCATGTTAAAGAGGTCACCGAGCAGTCTATGATAATAACTACTAGTCAGACTGAGCATACAACAATATTAATTAGGCCAATTCACAAATTCGTTTTTTTTTTGTTAAGACTCAGTTTTGAACATTTTTTTAAGTATTTTTTTCTAAAGTATCTAAAAATAAAAATCCGATTTTATCTATCATACACTTGCTAATTTTACTTGTGACAAACTACATACATATTTCTGAAAATATTCACTTAATATGAATTATGACTTGTATTTTACATTATGTACAATGTTTAATACTTATTGCGATCGGGCGACGTTTTGCACTGATTGCAGAATTTCTTAAAATATAACATGTATGTATGCAGCCTGAAGGTCCCTGGTAAGCAGCAAACACTAAAAAAATACAATAATAAAAGGCCCAATGTCGATGCAATACTTAAACATCAATACACTATTAAAGATAATAAGTATTTAAAGTACACAATAATGTAAAGGAATAAGTAACGTGATATAACATTACTTTTATAAAACCTAAATAAACGGTTTTTTAAAGCATCAAATATAAAATACAAAGGAAGAAAAAATATGTCGGTGAATAAAGTGGTACAAATGTGTTGCTATAATTCTTATGTACGTATATAATATGCGTATAAAATGCATTACGGCAAAGTTCCAGAGTAGGAGAAGAGGTCTAGGAGTGGCGGCGGAGCGCCCGAGAGGGTCCTTGTGACCTACAATATTGAGTAAAATTGAGCGACGTATCGGACGCTTCAGGCTGCATCTCTCGAGAAATACGCTCCAATCGCTAAATCTCCATGTACACAACCCAATTATAAATGTGTTTCTCACAGCCACACACCAATGATGCGTCAACATGTTTTGTTAAGAACTTTCAGCCTCATGTTGCAAACGAAATCAAGAAATAGCCTTCTGTGTAAAATTTCGGAATGGTTTCGTAGTCAAAGAGACGACACGTTAAGCCTGCGTTCAGAGAGTTCATACGGGCTCCAAAAATGGAAACCTCAGTCAGTAATAATTTGTCTGTACGAGGTGTAAACAAAATGACTAAAGTCTAATGAGTCTTTGACACGCGGCGCACAACAGCTACCGAATCTAGACGGATAGATAAGATGCTGTGGTTCCGCTTTGGACGACTCGCACAGACTTATACACATCACGACGAACAGCACGACATCCATGTGTTGCACGTACAGTAGCAGCTCGTCTGGATAATGGGAGCGTAGACGATGCCATTGGCGTACATCAGGGGCGGCGGCTGTTGAGTCATTATGCGTTGTTGGTCTTGGTATAGGACTTGCCAAGCCAGGCTCTTTATCAACTGGAGGGTCTGTCGCCGCTCGTGTCCCATTAAACAAACGGTGGACTCCTCCACCACGTCGTGCAATAGCATCAGGTACTGGTGTTTGAGAGCCTCTTCCTCCGGCTCGACGAAGTGATTCCAAAGATAGTTCTCCAATTTCCCCCTTTGTTGATTAATGTCAGGGAAATCGATGAAAAACCGCGAGCACATGTACTTTTGGAGACTCTTGATGTAATCAGGACTCGCCGGTTTGTAGTTCTTGACTAGCAAATTGCAATACTTGAGCAGACCGCCTCCGCGGATTTCCTCGGGGTGTCTCGTTGAGATCAGCTTCTTGTGTAAGTGGTATAGAGCTTCCTGGAAGTCGCCGAAGAAGGATTCACCGACGACCGTCGGGTAGAAATTCTCGCTGATAGGAAGCTCGCTGCATTCGTAGAAGAGCAAAAGAGAGTCCAAGATTATTTGAAATGAGTCCACCGAGAACTCAAATTGTCGTCGCATGCTATCGACGAATTTCAATTCGACGCCGCGACCACGGGAATTACCGAGAGAGATGAGGGACCAGCGATCACCATCATTATTACTACTATTCACTTTCACCATTTTGCTTACGTAAGCTTCCTTGAGACTGCATGTGGACATGCGTTTGCGGCTGACGCCATCAGGTAACATTTCATAGAGAGAACTTAAAACGGCGGACTTGACGCGGTCAAAATTCCGCACGTTAGACAAATCGACTCCGAAGATGAGATCCAAATCGTTATATGGCTGAGACTCGGTGGCCAAAACATGCGATGCTGCACCACCGTTCAGACGTATATCGCGGACACGCATGCCCGCGCCGCCAGAAGCCGTATCAGTCTCCAACTTCTTTCTCACGACGTTTACCAGGTCCCTCAGACGGACTTCCAAAGTCGGAAAATTGCCACGTCCGTGGATGCTCACTACCTCATCCATCACATCATTCAACCGGCAGACCTGCTCGAAACTGAGCACTGCTAGTCGTTGTTGAGATTCGATATTCTTGACATCCCCAACGCTACTGTTATTACTCTTCATTCTCTCTTCCATCTCAAGGAAGTAGTTCACGTCTGCTATGCAGTCACCGTACTCGTCTGGTGTGCTGCACTGTAACAGAAAACAAATCAATTAGTATCTCGCATGCAGAATCGTCCCGACGTTCCCACCCCTTCCATCTCATTTTCGGCTGAAGCCGAGGAATGTTCGATGGCAGGGACAGAAGCCGTCATCCTGACTCTTCGATGGCGTGTCCGCGATTGTCCTGCGATCTGGCGCACGATGCTGCGGATCACCAGTTGCTAGGTAACAGGACTCCGGGATAACGAAAAGAGTAAGAGGGGTGGCGCCGCACAACCGAGTGACGTCATCGTACTCTCGTGGGCGGATTGAATGGATGGCGTGGGCGAATGGTGCAGATGAACGACGCCTACGTCTAAGGAACCCCGGGCCCCAAATACAGCTATCGATTGTGAGAATGCACGCCGTTCACGTCACGACGCCATCATTACTCCGGACCCGGACCCGAAGCAACGCAACAAGTCCACTTCGAGGTTAAAAATCTAATCAAGTGCAAGGAATCCAAATGCGTAACACCTGAGAATCGCCCAAGGTCGGTAAACAATAGAGAAAAGCGTCGCCAATTGTTACCCTAATTGGGAAAACGCTGTTGCATTTGGCCTGAGGACATGGCGAAACTGCGCCAAGTTAGAAAGCTCAAATATTAAACATCTGGCGCTAAGCAATCTACAGGATGTTTCAAATAGAGCATATACAGATTTACGTAACATTGCACAAGACCATGAATCTGATTTATCTTTGCAAGGCATACCTAGGAACCAACTTTGTTGGCAAACTATTGATCATTACTCATGATACAGTGACAAATGACCACAAAACTCACTGTAGTTACACACAACGAGCTACGAGCCGTAATTTCAAGATTTCATGAAGCGTACCGACTGTTTGTACACATTTACTTGCAAGACTTTTCAACTTTTCACCAATAAAATAGCAGCATCACAAATTCGGATTATCTCTCGTCGTAATTAACGAAACCATAATCTCTAATAACATTCCTGTTGAAGGTAGGCGCAGTGAGTACATTTGCGATAATTAAACCGATAATGAATTTGGAGCTTACAACCATATTTAACTACCATTAGCAAAACGAATAAGTTACAAGTATAATTGCAACAACGTATACACTTACTATAGAATTAAATGTTTTAAACTGGTCTAAATGCAACACCATTAAAATTATCATTAACTGTAACATACTCGTACCTCTTCAATTATTGTAAAGACCATGTTGTAAATTATCACCAAGACGTTCACTCTACCTTTAAACAAGAAATTTCCTGTGCCTTGATATTTATACGGAGATAAAGAACATCGTTTATCGTGAATTCTAGGAGACTGATAATATGATTATCCGACAAATTTATTGCATATAAAAGACACGAAAATAGAACCAAAAAATACATAATCAAAAGGTTATATCACACTTAACTTCGGCAAAAGCATCAATATTTTTACTGGAATTGGATTATTATAAATGTAATGACATCTGACGCTTGTCTGAGCAAATTTAGCGTAAGATAATCTATTTTGAGTGACAAAAGATGTCAATCAATAAAATGTATCCAATATCTGATAAACTCAAAGAATTTAAAACTTTTGTTTTCGTGTTTTGATCGAAAGGTGCATTTACGAAATATCTGCAACGTTGGCAAAAATCACGGTGTCATGCATGAGCATGTGTAAATCCGACCATTCATTGACCTAGACATGGATTCTTCATGCTGTGTTGTTTCGCATTTGCATCACAATTTGGAATTAAAATCGAATTAGGGGTTCATGAAACAAGAATCGACAGTGACCCTTGGTCGAGGTGTCAAACAGTGATAAGCAACAAAATGTTATTGTTGGCATGTGGTCATGCGATAGTATTTCAAAAAACGAACAAGTAATAGAATTTTGATGTAATTATAAGTCCATGTTTTTGTTCACAAACGACGTAAACATAAAGATGAGGATGAAAGTGAAAGGTCGACCACATTGTTCCGTTACGCAATGGCACCAGTGAAGCACGTAACCTACTATTCACTTATTTAATTACCAAAACAAAATTCATTCAACTTAGATCATCTCTTGAATAATATAATAGCGTCGACAAAAAAGATCACCGTTATTATAATGGACTAAACAGAAATTATAGCTGGAATATCAGAGTTGTCTAGTTGGTTCACTTTCGGTTTCAATTTGTGACGGTGACACATATTCCTTGCTTTTAGAGATAGTTCTAACAGCATCCAATTTTCGAAGCGGTGAAATATAATAAAGGAAATTGGTAACAATAGAAGATAAAAACTCTACAATTTATCCACTTCACTAGCGATATTTCCGATAAATAATAAATAATCATAATGTCAAAACGCATAAAAAAGTGAAACAATTGATTTTTTTGATAATAAAATTCATTGTTAAATAATGTGATAAATTACTCTAACGTGCTAAAAAAATTGTGCTCAATGTTTTGTGATTAAAAAATCAATATTTCAGAGAAATGATTATATTAAATATATTACAATTGCGCTTGCTTTCTAAAACACTTAACTAATTGAATACATAAAGAATTAACTTTGTTGACGACTATTTTCGTTTACAAATGGACGGTTCCAGAAGGTGCAAGTAATAAAACTCTTAATAATATAACATAAAGAAGGGAAATATTAGATTATTCGTTTAGTTGAAACTTTATGTCCGTTTTATTGCTAATATACACCAAGACTGAATTTATTGCTTTTATAATAACTTTCTTGTTATTACATTAGGTATAATTCCAATAATAATTGTTGACACAGACTTGTGCATAACAGTAAAATCATTTGAGCTTTTAAAAAGCTGTAAAATAATTCCATTAAAACGACAAACAAGGTTTTGATTTGACTGAACAAAATAAAACCTGCAAAACATTAACATCTAATTCGTTCTATTGAATAAAATTTTACATAAATTATTTCATATCCCATTCGAAAATACAAATTTCTATTTGCATTAAGGTACATAAGTTTTTGACTCATCGTCAAAATGATAATTTCATGTCAAAAGTGCATATTTAACGCCATGTGTCACTGGCGTTAAATTCTCTATTAAAATTTCCAATGCTGCATAAAATAGATTATTATTAGCAATTACAATTATTATTGTAAAGTAGGTACGACGATAAAAGTGTTCAAAAATAATGTTGGTGCGTGATCTTTCACTACTCATTCTTTTCTTACGAAAGAGTTCTAATAAATGACGTCATAAGCAGATATACAATCAATACCTTTAAGGTCATCCGCAATCTCAGAACCATTCATTTTTTGGTCCATAACCTACAGTGGCACTTCGCACCTATGAAGTAATTTTACAACAGCAAAAGGCTTTTGGATTTTTATTTTAATACTTATTGACCCCATTTGCAAAACAAACAGTCACTATTCATGTTTAGGCTTGACATTAACAATTGTGTGTAGAGTGAAACAGAAGACAACAATTAACATGAAGTGCTTCTTATTGGAAGTCACGCATTATTTAATTAATTTAAGAATTATTTAGCTTAAGTACACTAAAACTGTATCTAATCTCTGGAAGTTTCTAGTGAGAACTTTAGTATCGAAGACGCAATACCGGAGTCTAATAAATTAATGAGTGTTTCCTCTGATTAAAAATTTATGGTTTTGACTTTTAAATTTTTAATTCAGTTACGTATAAAAAAATTCAAGTCGGTTTGTCAAAGGTCCATAATTACTATTAATGGGTCATCTAAAATCATCTGTTACCGTCTGAAAATCGATACCCGATATTACAAAGACCGCCTCGAATGTGACATCCTATTTCATGTAATTATAGAATATTCAGTCGCAACAAAGGTCGATTCCGGTTGTCGAATATCAATTCCGGAATATGAATCGAAGCTTTGTTATTCGCCACACATATAATAAAAATCATTTACGAGCATCCCTCGGGAACGCAACACGTGCCTATAATAAATTCCAGATGGCAGTTTTTAACCTGAAAAACGCTTATCAATCCGGGCTCGTAGCCACAACGCAGCAATTTCCGGTTGGACTGATAAACAATAACGTCGCTAACCAATCTAAACAATAATTCATAAAGAGAAAATTATTGGTCCGGGTGTCCGGACTCGTAAACCGGAAACCTTAGACGCTTAACCGTGTTAGTCCGTTACATATTGTCTCATAATCCAGTTACAAGTTAAATTACGCGCTCGGTCATAAGAGGGTGGCAACACCCTCCTTCATCCCTCTCGTCGGCGCCAGTCTGGGGTATTGTGTCGATCAAAAAATTGCAATTGTGGCGACGAATACATTAAAGCAAGGACGTGTGCGGAAGAAGAGGCGTAATTTGAATCAACCTTGTAATTATTAATTATTTTCAAGTTTCCACAATAGTGCTAATAATTAAAATTGGACGGAAAACAGCTACTTGACAACAGTCACCGAAAATTAATACTTAAGGGAAAAGACTGAATTCGCCAAAAAGATAGACGATAGACTTAAATACACTCAAGTTTATTTAGTTATTGATGCTCGAATACACAAAAGATCGCAAGATATTTGTTATGTTGACATAAATATTTTGCCATTTTATAGAAACGAATTGAATTCAACAGGTTTAGGTTTCATTATTTCGTATGTTATTTATTAGGTATTACGTTTATTTAATCGAACGGTGAAATTACTTTTATGTATGCTAATCCTATTCCGTCATTTATCAATCTTATCAGTATAGAAAATTACATTTACCTATTTGTGGGTAACTATGTCCAATAGAGATATTATACAGACAAAGATTTAACAATGACAATGTGTAAGGTCGAGGCGCCCACTTTTATATTATTTCCAGTTTTCATTATCATATCAGGGTGTCAGAACTCGCGCCCCAGAGAAAAATTTCAAGTAAGACAAGATATCAGGAACATGGATAAAGTGTTTAAAATATTCTATCTGTCAAAAAAAAATGGTGACATTTATTTTTGACATTTGGCATTTTTTAAGTCTATATTTAATGACACTGATGAACTTGCATATGTTTTTTTTAGAATTATTTAGTAAAGGTACAACTAAAAGCCACAAATAACATTAAACCGAGTTACAATTTAGGATACAGCTTCCTTGTTTCCTCTTCTAACAGCCTGTAGTAAAAAAACTTGGAAAATTATTGTTCCAACAGAAATAAATAGAGGCAAAGTGCAAAATTTAAACTCTCATAACTTGGAAGTTTTTATAAATAGAATTTTTTTAACATTTTTTCCATGTTCCTGTAGAACAGAAGCATGTTTTACTTTTAAAACCTGTTTATGTAGAACTATTAGTATTTTTTCACTCTTATTATAAACTGACACAAGTTCATTAAACAAATGATTTGAAATTTTTAATAACAATTTGCTGACGAAAGTCGAGTAATAGACTATGAATTTCAATTTAAAATTGTAATTCTATTAGTGGTTTTCTTTGGTGAGAATAATTACCAGTCATTCGTTATTATTGTTGTTACTTAATCGACACTTCTGAAAAAAATTAATTTAAACATGCTTCAAAAGAAAGTATAATCTTTCTCAAATTTCTTTCGTATTCCAATCAAAAAATAGAACCAAAAAAATTTTAAATTAAAAAACACATTTTCCATCTAATCAATTCGGTTTATTGAGGTATTCATTACCGCATTTTAAAACTAGAATACATATAAATTTATCAGTGGTAAGTAACCATTTAGCAGTAATAATTATTGTATGTACATAAGTACAGATAAACAAGCGAAAAATGTATTCTTTCAATAACACAAGTTATGTTTTAATTTTAATCGTGCGGCGCAATTTTGTTATAAAATGGTTACACTTTGTGTGTTACATCAAATGAAAAATTAACTACAATTCCGCAGCCACGTTTTTCCATTTAACAGCAAATATCAAGGTCGTAAAAATAACACCATTTTAAACAAATAAGTCACTCATTTTTATTTAGTCCATGAAAGTTTTAGTTCCTTCCAGTTTATATTAAATCAATTCAATTATGTTCGTCTCCACTGCGCCATATACGTCACACTTGATCCAATTTATATGCAATCGTTGGTACAATTCATCAGTCTACAATGTGGCAGTTTCCAACGTTACAAAATTCAATTGAGTTCATAAATAAGTGTCGGCCATAAATCTGTATAGTTCAAAATTCATGTCGTCAAAAACAATAAAAAAGTGACCTACTAGGATATGAAGCGCATGAATGAAAATTTTTCATTGATACGCATTTATGTATCAAAAATTATTATCTTCAAATTAGCCCGCACAAACGTACAATTATTTCGTCCAATTATATTATTCGCTTTGTACGTCACGTCCGCTGTTTACAACAATCTCGAAGTCACAATACATATTTTTATGTCATTAATATTTAAATACAATACAATCAGCACATAAAGCCGACGTGATATAGGTTACTTGCTAGTTTTCATAAAAGTTTGACAATAACGTCGTTTATTGCGAGGAGGTTTCCGTGTGACAACAATTTGCAAATATTTATTTAAGATAATTACGTGTTTTTGTTACCGGACTAAAAAAGCAGAATTTCCAGACCTTGACCGCTTGACAATTAGGTTGTGCCACTAACAAGGCATAGAAAAATTTACCAAAGGGCGGAACTAAACTATAATTTTAGATCATACCGTCATTACCAATGATATAAATCAACACACGAATATAGTGCGCCATGATTAAAGAAACTCAAATTTCACTTTATCACAAAAAACGATTTTTTAACTGGAATGGAATTTTTCCTCTGAAAAGAATATTGCACTTTCATGTTTAGAGATAAGAATAGCCAAAAATTGTGTTAGGCCTGGTTAGCAACAGCCAAGTATTATTGAACGGTAACTCTAGTAGTACACGAATCCGTGTAAAAATAACTTTAGTAGCTAATAATGACGTAGAATTTTTGCCTGCGATGTGCTGCTATCTTCATACAATAGTAAATTAGCTATTAATCTAATGTTCAATTCAAATGTAGAATCTTCTTGACAATATTGCGTAGCCGTGTAATCATCTAAAACATCTCGAGATTAATTTCCAAGTGTCATGAGTGATGATAGCTTGGTTAAAACAGAGCTTAAATCTACAGCAAAGCTTAATTTAGACAGAGAGTGAATGATTTTGGTTATTATCTTTGCTTCAAATCTTTACTCCAGAAAAAACATTAATGTTTTAATAGAATTTGAGTTTTGAGACAAGGGTGTTATAAAAAAGGTTCTTGAAATTGAAAATGAAATCCTATTTACATAAAAAGTGTTTAGAAAATAAATTAATTAACAAATTTTTACATAATTATTATGCCACAATTCTTTTATATAAATGACAAGATATCTTATTGAAGGCACTTTGATTTTTTTGTCCTTTAATCTAAACCAACATGCTAAAATTATGTCAGATACAAAATCATTTATTTGAAAAGTCAAGGCCGTTACATCAACATCGTTAAGATACGACTGTTAATAAATTATAGACATCAGACGTCTACATGGATCGCCTTTAGATCCAAACAATTATTAATGAAGTAACTCACGTCGGCACAACATATGCAATAAAAATTGTAATTTAGTTATAATTCATACAGGGTGTCCCAGGAGTAATAATGAGCCTGAAAATTTTTTTGAAGCAACCAATATTACATTTCATAGATAACGTGCATATTGAAATATTTTGTTTTAAATAGTTAAACATAGTAATCGTATTTTTATTTTTGACAAATTTTTATTAGTCAAAATGACTACTCCAGTTTTAGAAAGTCCGTCTATTTGGATATCGCGCTGGATAGAAACGTGCAGCCTGCAAAGCGTTTTTCAAATATTCTTCATAAATGAGAATCTTGTTGATTTGTTTGGCAAAAATTTTAGTAATTCTCATTAAATTTTCCGAGGTTTGACTTTTTATAAATTAAAGTTGAAGTGTGCTGTTTAATTTATTAAAACTAAATATTTTAATATCCATGTTATCTTTGAAATGTAATGTTGGTTGCTTCCAAATTTTTTTCAGGCTCATTATTACTCGTGGGACATCCTGTATAAGTTAGTCCCTGAAGTGCTTATCAAGGTTTAAAGAAAAAGTGTAATCTCTCCAACATATGATCGAAGCAAGACTACAGGTGAAGAATTGACCGGTCTTACCTACTGATTTATTGGTGTTATTATAATGGACAAATTCTTGTTTGTGGTTCACTATCATATCTGTCAATCCCTATCAGAGTTGCCGTCCAGGAACTTCCTATACGAACCTAACTTTTGATAAGTGTGGAAACGATCAAATGTTCAAAGTACGAAAAATCTGCTTCGCCAACTAAATTAACATCCGGAAGATTAATTTTAGAAACTATAATGATAAAATTTTAGCGAAACTGCATGAATGAAATTAACACGTCCTTATCAGCTACGTTTTCATTTATTCGTTCTTATCAACCATGTTGCACAAGCAATAAAAAGAAAAGTTCATGGAATCGATAATTTAATGCAACAGCTGTCTTTTACTGAAACAGTTCATTGCAAAATCAACAAAAATTGATGACACTGTAAAACAGCAGCAAAAGATTTGTCTTGATGGAAATAACAAGTAAGCAGTAAATAAATTATTTTGGTTCGGTTGAAGTTGCATAAATTATTAAAACGTAATTAATAGAACACTTTTGGGGTCATGTCTATTCAGGAACAGCAAGTTGTGTGAAATATTAAATTTGACCATCTGGCGTAAAAGTAGAGCTTATGGAAACTAAGATAACGTTTTTATTCGAGTGTCCCGCTAATTAATTTAATTGAGTTAGATTGTTGGGAGTTGGAGAAAATCGTATCTTAGATCCTTGACATGAAATTTTAATGGAATGCGTCCACGAGAGTAGTGAAACGTTTTCTTTCTGCGTCGCCAGTTTCCCAATCACGTGAAACAATTCGCACGTGAAGTTAACGGAATAATCCGATATAATTAGGCGAAGGAAGCACAAGAATCACTTGTTACGTCATGGGCGCACGTAGGCCGTCGTCGTATTTGGTCAAGCAAAAACCATGTAGGGCCTTACGAACCTGTGGGAGTCGCAGCTCGTCGCTGTCTCCCTCGAGGTCGGAAACTTGGACGCCATCGCCGTCGAAGTCGGTGTGGTCCGAAGGGCCGCTGTAGTCGGAGACGACGCTGCTTCCGCAGCTATTGCCGGAGTCTTCCATGTTCACATCAACATCCTTGAATTCTGTGCCCATGCTCACAAGAACTACAACTGTGACCGGCGGTCAACACAAGGAATGTGTGATTCTAGGACGGCACTGCACAATTTCACGCTTGAAGAAAATGCAAGTTGTGTTGCTAATAAGACTTCACCGTGGCCAACCACACATTACACTATCACACGCCGCACTGGGAAGAGCCTCCGACAGCGGACTCAACTCGCGATACTCCAACCTGGCGGCTGCGCATTCAAACCCACCAGGATACGCGGACACTCACGGAATATTCGCGATCCGCTCACACCGTTCTGGAAAAGTCCTCCTGTCTTACGCTTTTTATGCTTTTCCAGGGACGAGACGCGGCCAAACAAGCTCACAGCTTTGACTTGTTGCTTGGCTTGGGTACGAACTGTCCGACTTACCCACAAAAACAGATGATCTACGAGATTGCACTCAAAGCACCCGGACTAGAACGTCCTGGATTATCGCAGAGCTTTTCAAAGGAGTAAAGGACAAGTGGAAACAGGCAACTAGCTAATCAATTACTAAACTACTATTGCCAGCTTTGCCACATATAACTTACGCTTATTTTATGACAAAGTTAGAAGCATCTACTCATTTCCCTTATAAAGATAATCACAATTGCGAAAATTATTACTTCAAAAGTTTAAGCTGGTTGAGCTTAGTTAGACTCAGAACACCGACTAGACTCCACCACAATCCACAAAATCCGGCTCAAACAAACTCAGAGTAATTTCTTTTATATTTCAAAGTAACGAGAGAAAACAATTCGTATAATTTTCCGAGTTTTTAAGAAAAGATTAAACACTAGCTACATTAACAGAAAACATTTTAAACAGGCATAAATAGTCCACTCGGAATCGAATATTCCAGTTAAAAAAAAGTGTAAATATTTTTAATAGTTTAACAATTGGTTTGAACTCAATTAGTAGTAGACTTATTTATACTTGTATTATACTTCTCTTGTCACAACATTTAATGAAATAAGCCGTCACTTCCGTTATTTAGTTGAAGCAAAGAAGCAAGTACATACATATATATTTATGTTCACTATTTTTATTTTGTTTTAGGGGTTTCTTATTCTTGGTTTGTTTTGAAAATAATTTTAAACCACCAGAAAGCAATTTCAAAAGGTTGTATTTCAAGCGATGCATATTACAATTTTTATAATTTATTTTTACATATTATAAACCATTGTAATACCTAATTCAAATCTGCTCACAATTTATTTATCATTATTATTCCCCCATGATCAAATTTATATAATGTTATTAATGTTTGTTATTAAAATTATTACTAAACAAATATTCTCGTAGAAATATATTATTAATAGACGTAGAAAACATAAATTAAAGTTTTATAAAAATAACGAATAATTTTATTAAAACTAAGATTTTTTATTCTTCGACACTGTCAAAATTTATGGTTTTTCTCCCGTGTAAGAAAATTTTGACAACTGTTTGGCATTTCTCAATACGAAATGTCAAATTATTTTTAACAGATTTAAAGCACGTTTAAGCCTTGTTGAGTCTAATTCGAAGAATAAAATGTTGTCTTCAACTCGTTTGAGTGTAAATCGGACGCTTTATTCCACCTCGTGGATGGTAAACCACTCGTTATACTCGTGGTTTAAAAATCCACTCGGTCAAATAAACCGTCCGATTTACACTCACACTCGTCGAATAAATAACTATTAGCATTTTTCGGTTACTAAAATAAAAATAAATATTCCACTCGCTGAATGGTTGAAGCGTGAGCTTTTAAACTAACAATAATTTTCATTAATTTCAGATAAAATCTGCAAATCCTGGTTTACCGATTATTTAGTTTATTGTTGAACATTAGATTAGTTAAATTTATGTTTTTCCGACAATAATAAATTAAAATATCGGCTATTAAAAACTATTTTATTGTGGCATATCCTAAACAAAAGTTAAATATTTACAAAAGGTTTTCTAATGGTTTATATGCATGTAGGATATGGTCCTAGGGTTTGGAGATTAAATGATATCAATAAATTATAGACTTCGAATTAAAGCTTCTGAAAAATGTTATCAGGATTATGCTATAATATAACCTAATAATTACAATTTATTGAAGGATTACGAGAGCTACATAAAATCTGTCTCATGCTACTGTCCATATTGTATTAGCAGCGGTTTAAGAAGAAGACGAACGAGGGAGCTGGAAATCTCCGACTTATTACCCACTGGATTAACAAACAAAAAAGAACGTCCCAAACAGAATAGTAGGCAGCGGAAAAACAATTAGATCAAGAGAAATGTAACAGGATTCATTGTGTTTTTGATTTCGAATTTTGTCGACTCTAAGCTTTTAATATTTTTTGTAGGTTGTTATCGTTATTTGAGATCGAAAAATAATTGATTTTATCTTTATTAACATGAATAACCACACAAAAACGTGGCGGCAGAGGTTGCAATGTGGGAGTATTGTGCAACTGATAAAATACCTACACAGTACTATGACGAATTTCACACAACGATTTTCAGACGTCATTTATATCAAATCCAATTCACGACTCAGAGATGACGTCAAAAGACGCTCTTTTACGGATTCCTTATGTTTGCAATTATCGATTATATGTGTATAAATATGAAAGAAGTAAACAGATTTTTTGATATTTTTTATAGACATGTGATTTACGATAAACAGTTGTAATATTTCAACAAACAATAAAAATCTAAGATACAACCATCGTTAGTTTTATCACGAAAAGAAAATTGTTCGAAATCTAAATAAAATTGAATTCAAACAGTGACCAAATTGAATTTATGAATAATAAACATTACGTATGTGTATTATAAATCATCCGAGTTCCGCTATATTGTTTGGGAATCACATAATACGAAGTCTGTGAAAAAATGTAAGAAAATATATTATTTTCGAGATCAATAAATTGTGAGTGCAACAATATATATCTCGCGCTGCTGAGATTTCACAAGAACCAGATAAAAAAGTATTTTACTACTTAAATAGATAATGTTTATTTTAGTTTGGTCTTTAACAGGCAAATATGTGTTATCAGTACTGATAGAAGTAAGACTTTCGCATCATAAACCTTGACATTTAGAGTTCAACGCCTTAAACATTTTATTAACACAATTAATTATGCATGCACTATTTGGACTCTTTTGTATCGAAACTGTGTAATAAGAGTCGAATATTTTACAAGATAAATTCGGTATCTACTGTGTTATAATGAGTGGGTAAAAATTTTCTGCCAGAATAATTAACTAATAAGCTAATAACTAATAAAATAAGACAGCAAAAATTATATCACGCCGATTCTGTAAAATTAAAAACATTTTTTAAATTATAAATAACTTTGTCTTGACATTATAACTAAATGTATTTGTTTTTATTTGCAATGAAAATATTTCATAAATAGATGCGCAAACTAGAAAGGAATTTGTTTTTTAACGGATTCCTGTCATGACTTATTTCCTGGTCTGTTGAGGTAAAAATCCCAATTTTTTGACAAGGAATGCCCAAATATAATTACATGTTGCAATGTTGCGTGCAGTAAAAGCTTATCTCTGACGTCACCCTAAATTTGGCGATTTTTCGTGATAAAACGGTGAATTGGTTAAAGGTTTGCGGAGGTTATGTCGCCATTAATTGATATACAATATGTAAATAATGATTAAAAAACTTAATCGTTGTGTAAACGGTGGTCGACTAAAGTACATACCATAATTAAGTTTAATTTAATTATGTATTAAGCCTGCTAGGTTTAGCAACCTGACAATTGCAAATTAGTCATTAAAATTTTTTTCCGAAATAAGCAACAATCGCTTGGAAAACTTTATTTCCTTTCAACTGCAACCGGAGCGCACAAATAATTGTTGTTTCGTAAACTTGACCAACTACTGTGAGAAAATGTGGCCTATAATTAAGCACCATATACAATTATATATTTTCCACCTTTCAGCGACCTTACAATCGACCTTGTTACAATCATTATGAATTGATATAAATGAATTTTTGTCTCAAGGTTTGTGATTGAGAGTTGAAAGTAAAACTGACCACGATTTTCGACGAAATCTTCCGAAAACAACATTTTTCACCGAAAATTGCGTGCTTCACTAACTCTGTCTCTGAGTTAACAAATCGACCCTAATGCGGTTAAAGCTATTAAAATTATCGCAAACCATTAAAGAAATGTTTTAAAAAATTTACTCTATCGTACTAGATAAATGCACATTTTCCCCATTTTTTGCTGGCTTGACGTCACTGAATTTTGTCTTATTGGTCTCTTGAAGTCCCACTATGTATTAATGAAGCCTTACTGATTTCCTTTCCATCACAAAAAAAAACAAAATAGGATACGACCCAGTTACGTTGTACTTGATATTCATATATTAGAAATTATCTTTGGTGGACGAGATTTGCTTATCGTAAAATTTATGACACTATCTTTAACCTTCAAACAAATTTGCCTGAAATGAAAGCGACAGGCCTTCATTACTCTCAAAGCTTTTCAATCTTTGTTATGTCACACCATCATACTCGCATGACTTCACTGCAAAAAAACAAACAAAAATTATAAAAATATATTTATTATTATTTATCTAAGTTGGTATCAGTGTTTATTCCTTTTGTTACCACTATATGCGATAAACATGTTTTTAACGTTATTTTATCATTGTTAGGAGTTCATATCACCCTGATTACTATAATTAATGCCCAATAATTCTTTTATTGGACTTAATTTGGCACCTACGAGATCGGAATTTCGATATCTATCTTCAGTTTTCCAAATCTAGGCGAAGAAATCAACCAAGAAAATAAATAATAATCTAAAGATAAAATCAGACTGTCCAAATCATTTCCATTATTCTCCCACAACAATCATAATACATTACAATCATTTATAACAGTAGATAGTAGATTTGTTTTAAACTCGAAAAGTAAAAATTAATTCCTACAAAATTAATTTTGAGCCCCGCCTAATCCTTTCAGTTTTAATGAGCTATGCGAAAAAAAATGTCACTGCGATAATTTCATGGAAATATGATGGCGTGGACTGTACAAATTACCATGGTAACAGCTCGACCAGAGTTATCTCACCTACGCAACAGATCGAAGAAAAATATTAACACTAAATTTTCCGAAAAAATCGTTTATATCGTTTGTACACTTTTGTTAATAAATACAGGATTTTAACAATGTAATTTATGTTTTTATCAGCTCTAATTAAGATCAATTTTTATATTAAGAGCACAAAAACAAAATTTATT